ATAACACAGAGAGCCCACACAAGCGGCGTGTCTGGTCGTTTGTTCGAAATATAAAGAAATGTATGGGAGAATATTGAAGAGTCGTAATATCGTAAACTTATATCAAGGAATGTCCATGTTAAGGCTCAAAATAAATGTAAACTTACCTCACTTGCTGTGTATTGTCGTTTCTGTGGTTCTAAATGGCGAATTTGAGCGATTTGGTAGATTTTGCTTTGAGTGTTACCTTACTGTATAAGAAGGAGTAACAGTCAACGCAAAATCTACCAAATAGCTCAAATTCGCCATTTAGAACCACAGAAACGACAATACACAGCAAGTGAGGTAGGTTTACATTTATTTTGAGCCTTAACATAGACATTCCTTGATATAAGTTTACGATATTACGACTCTTCAATATTCTCCCATACATTTCTTTATATTTCGAACAAACGACCAGACACGCCGCTTGTGTGGGCCTCCCTGTGGTCACTCGTAGAGGTTAAATGGGGTTAAGAGAGTCAGTTTGTCGGACTTACTAATATCGTTGCCTGGTTCCCATCAAATTGGTTTAGCGTCATCAGAACCAGACATCTGCAGAGAAACTTTCAACTTGTGGTCATCACTCATGATGAAGAGTTTGTGGAAAATCTCGGGAGAAGCGACTTTGTAGACTACTACTTCAGGATATACAAGGACGAAAAGTAATGTATCAACTTGGCGTAAAAGAAGCCCTGCCCTCTTTGATTCGACTTGTTTGGCGATGCTGCGAAATACACTGTGATTGGAAGGCAATCCTCAGATAATCTATTTCAACGTGCTTTGCAATTTATCGAGTAAATTTATTTTGCAAAACCAAATTCCAGTACATTCGAAAATGCCAATACAGATGCGTGCTAATCTGTTATTGTAACGACAAATGTTACTAAATAAACTGCTTAACTGCGTCGGTGGGGGTATTACAAGCTAATTGGTTTTAAAAACAGGATTTTTTTCGAGCATTACTCATTCTTCAGAGCGTTAGCCCTTCGTATTTTGCTTTGGCTAACGCTCGAAATGTCATCTTTAGAAACCCTTTACGGTGGCCAATTAACTTTCGTAACTCAACTGATAAAACCAAATCCTCTTGTTGTTTGTAATGGCTCATTTGATTACATGTGCAAATGATTACATTTTGTATTAGTATTAAGTTTGAATGCCAAACTTAACATCCTTTTTCTGTCCGATTTCGATTTCTTCAAATTCAACATAAAACAATAAACATCACTGCGAGTCTCCAGGGAGTTAGCCTTATAAACCTTTTGGTTTATGGATGTTTTGCATGGCAGCCATGTTGCATGGCAGGAACAATGAAAATATTTTGCATAAAAAAGAAAAATTTTTCCCATGGGAAAAATAATCAATTGTTCCTGCCATGCAACAGGGCTGTGGTGCAAAACTTCTGTTGCCCCGAGACTTAGCGCTCATTTAAAAGGGTTTAAATAGGGATAACTGTTAGCCGTTAAACAGCAAAAAAATTAGTCGTTAGACGTTAAAAAAAAAAAAAATTAGAGAGTTTAGATCTACCTTTGGTGAGTTAACCGCCAACGTCAAACGTGGTGATCAGTTTGAGGTCAAAAGTTACATATATTTACAAGACATGCGTGAGAACGTGGACCGCTAACGGCAAACGTGACTGCTGAAGTCTGGTCATGTGACTCCCAGCGGTTTGCGGACCCACGTATTCAGAAACAAATTTGGATCTAAAACCCTCTTATAACCTTAGGTCGCTTAAAAAAAAAAAGGAAAATTTTTTTGTAAAAGCCATCACCGTGTGACTTAACATCACGTGTTTTTTCCTTTTTTTGCAGTGGTTTCTCAAAGATAGTGAAACAGAGTGTGGCTGCATTGCATAGGGAGGAATCTTTTCAGTAGATTTCTTGCAATAGGAGGAAATTATATCTCAAGACTCTCCACCGACGAAAACTTAAAGTTCTACGCCAAACGTTGTTATATATTCTAGAGGAAGTGAAGTTTAGAATTGAAAAGTTGAGAACTAAGTGGAGTGCAAACTGGTCTACAATCAAACGCGTGATTTTAAAATCAAACAAGTGTACAGCGTGAGTTCGCTTTGAAATCAAGTGTATGATTTCTGACCAAATTGCACGACACGATGGTCAATTACTACTTTATCACCGTTTGAAATCGCAAAGTGTAATCGCCCAAATACAGGTTTTGGTCAGTGCAATTAGGGACTTTAAGCAAACCACGACGGCTACGGCAACGAAAACGTGGAAGAAAAATAGATCTAATTGGCAGAACAATAGCCCAGCACGTGCGTTTTAAAACTTTGTACATTTCTTAACCGTCCTATGCAAAACAAGAACGTGAAATCACCAAACTTTGCGTCGTCTGCGAAGGAAACCGCGGCGGCAAATTACTTCAATTTACATTTGGAACTCAACGCTACTTTTATGTGTTATGTTGAGTTTGAGGTCTGGCGCCCTATGAGACGGTAAACAAATGCAGCTATTTTCGAAATTGTAACAAAAAAATAGAAACACATTTTGTAATCGACGTCTTCCATGGCCTTACCGTCCTGACTGCTTAAAGTCCCTAATATTTTATTAATGTAGCACCGAGCCGGTACATAAAAAAGCCAAACCGCAGAGTAAAAATGAAATAAAAAAAAATAGTTGGGGAGAAAAAGTTGCAAAATATCATATGACAAACGATGACTTCTGTGTCATTCATCTTCCTGTAATTTGATCGGTTACTTTAAACAGCCTTGAAATCTGATTAGTTTTGGTTTAGTGACTGACAATTCATAGCAAAAAAAAAAAAAAAGTGCGACTCTTTGATAAATTAGGGATCTCCGATGATTTTAAAGTGGGCGTAATAACACTGAAAATATGTTTTTACGGTAATAAACATGATGACTTTCCATTTCTATAAAAGCAAATAGTCACGCACACATCTAGCAGAAAATTATTTTTGTTTTAAGGTTACCGTGCACCTTCAGGGGTGTCTCGCGTGCAAGCGATGTAGCGCGTCCGATTTAAACTGTAGATATCTAAACCCCTATATCAAATTAAAGCTTATAGGACTGGCTATCAGACTATACCAAAAATGTTGAGAAAAAATGAATTGTCGAACTTTTCACGACTTCTAAATGCGAGCGCCCGAATCACCTTTTAAGAGCTACAAGTCAAAGGGAATTTGTTCGATTGCTCTCAAATTTTGACAGTAGCTAGTTTTACATATAAACAAAAAAAAATGGTCTCCGAATTTTTTATTTCTATATACTTTTTTCCAGAGAGATTTTTGTACGATCACTCAACATTTTTTTAATTCTATTTCAAAAATGTTCTGTAACTTTTCACTGAAATAGAATATGGAAAATCGCAGACACTTTTTTTAGCGCTTTGGCCCCGGAAACGGAGGAACACATTAAATAAGCGGAAAACAAAATTCGCTTTGACATGTAACGTTCAAAAGGTGATTCGGGCGCTCGCATTTAGAAGTCGTGAAAAATCCGACAATTTTTTTTCAAAATTTTTGGTATAGTCTGATAGCCAGTCCTATAAGCATTAATTTGATATAGGGTTTTAGATATCTACAGTTTAAACCGGACGCGCTACATCGCTTGCACGCGAGACACCCCTGAAGGTGCACGGTAACCTTAACGAAAGCTTACAGTTTGCGACCCCGCTACAAAGTCCTGAGATCATTTGAAACATGAAAATTAGACATCCTCCGATTGACGTTCCAGTGAAAGAAAATACAAGGCGTCCACACTTAATGGAATCCGCGTGTCCACGTCAAATCCCACTGTGAGGTCGCTTAGGTAATCAAAAGCCGAATCTTCTTGAGTTGCTTGTCTGTAAAGAAAATTTACAGCTTTATCCCAACCGTATGCATCCGTCGAATTTAACCACTGGAATGGAATTCTTTTGGAGATAAATTCACCTTTTTCGAGGTTAGTACGTTCAAAAGATATCAAGTCATCTGTCCGGGACTTACGTACATAAATGCGAAACTTCAATATCATCATTTTGACCTGCATAATTTCTTCTCGACATAATTCCCCTTCCTCGTATTTTTCTATAAGTTTTACAAAGTTCGTTACGCCTCCAAAGAACAGGCCATACCTAAGGGCAATTTTCTTAACGTTCACCATCATATGAGAAGTGGTCGCAGTTTTTGACGCATGGCTAAAGCGCATCTTACGAAGAAATTGTTCGTCGTATGTGAGTTGTTTCTTTATGCGTCGTAGGTTCTGTATGATTTCTGGTTGCTCAATTAGCTTTGGAAACTTAAGGCTGGGAACTTTTGACTCGTTCGTGGAGAACGATCTTTGCTTGACAGCTTGATCTGCTTGGTCAAAGCCCTTCATAACATCGTCTAACAGATCGCGTAATTGATACAAAGTGTGCAGTGTGACGAGAAGTCTGCTACGTGTTTTCCATTGTGCCCTTCGATCCCTCTTCATTAGTTCGAAATCCGAGACTTTACCAGTTGGACGGATGATTATCCGGTTTAATTCCTCCATCACGCTTTCCATGAATGGGTTAAAGAGAGTACCATTACCGTAATAGCGCAACTCATCCTCACTGCATACGCTACCATCATTGTGAAAAAACTCCTCGCCACCTTCTTCAAATCCGTCCAAAACGAATGAATGGGGAAAGCTTCCAAAAAGATGCGTATAAATCAAGCTTAACTCCACCTCTCTCTCAGGATAGGCAAGGATGCCTCCGAATGTCTGAATGATGTCAACGACTTCCAGCCATTGGTCCTTTTCGTCTTCAGGAGGCTTCCTCGTCCCAACGAATAGGTTGGCAAGGTACAAAGGTGTTACGCCATGCAAATTTGAACAGTTTACATCAATGCCATTGAGACTAGAATCATTTAAAAGGGTTTTGACGAAACCACTCAGACCTCTGTAAGCTGCCAAGTGGTATATTGTTAGTTTTGCCCGAGTTCTGTTACATCCAACATCAAAAGGTGAAAGACGCTTTGTAGCTTCAAATAAAAGATCTACAGCTACCTCTGCAATGTGAGTAGGTGGACTTGAAAGGTAAGGGCTTATCCTTCCATACAGAATGGAAAGTTCCAAAGAGTTATGCCCAAGAGGAGTTGGGATTGTTAGATCAGCTCCCCACGAGAGAAACTTCTTTATCACGAATAGGTTACCTCCTTGAGCTGCTCTATGCAATGCAGTGTATCCTTCTGCGTCACGACACTCGTCCACGACACGGAATTCTAAAGGATGGGCCTTGATCGCTTTCAGAAGGGGTCCATCCTTTACAAAGCAATGTAAATCATCACAGGTTTTGTACTCAAGAAGATTTTCCGTAGGCACTGTCGGCTCTCTAAAGGCTAGCATATGCAATTCCGACTGGTTAAATGGCGTACCACATTCGACGTGAATAGGTATGTCAAATCGCTTTAAAACTACATCCAGCCACTTGCCACCATTCTGCAGATAAATCATTAGTGGTGTTCGACCTTGTGCATCTTTACAGCTCAGGCTATGGTTCTTTAAAAGTATCAGGTAAGCAATTATTGGTTGTTGCTTCTCAAACGCGCGATGCAACAAAGCAGTTTTCTCTCCTCCACACGCTTGGGTCAAGTCATCCTCTCTAGAGAGGAGAATATGAGCTACTGAATTATGATACCTTCTGTTCAAGGCTAAAATCAGGTCAAAATTTACTTTTTCATCACTGGAATTCCTCATGTTGGGATAGATCACTTCAGTCGCAAATTCCACGGCAAAGTCTAGAGGAATTTTCCCTTGTCTGTCATTCAAATCCGTTCTTGCCCCTTTCCGCAGTAGCTGCAAGACACAACACTCCTCCCCAGATCTTGCCGCGAGATGCAATGCTGTTCTTCCACTTTTGTCTCTTTTATTTATGTATGATGTATCTGATGATTCAATAATTTTTATCAGCTTACGACACTGAAAGCTCAAAGGTATACTCCTTGAAATAACGAAAGAATCATGCGTTACCGTTAAGTCACCTCCCTCTAGATTCCAAACTGTAGTGAATGATTTACCACCGCGGTCCTCATGCGTTGAGTGGAAAATCCAATTTGAATTGCGTTCGAAACTGTTTGCCACTGAGTAGTGTAGTGGTGTCATTCCATTTTCATCAGTTTCATAAATGCTAGATCCCATGTCTATCAACGGATTGATGTCCTTGTTAATGTTACAAATTGCGCCACTGTGAAGCGGGGTTGAGAGGTTTTTACTTTTTATGTCAATATGGAGAGAAGGTCTCTGAGAAATAATCCATTTAATAAAATCGTAATGCCCATGACACGCAGCAACATGAAGTGGCGTGGCCCCTTGGCAATCCATATCGTCGAGCTTTGCACCATTGCGCAAGAGCAGGGACGCCACCTCAATATGACCATATCTTGCGGCTAGGAGAAATGGTGTTGTACCGCAGTGACAAAGATCTTTATTGTATTCTTCTATTTCTCTTTCGCTGAGAAACATTCTCTGTCCTTGACACTCGGTCCCCAGGGAGCTGCAGGAAGAGGAAAAATTTTGAAAGCGCTTGCATTTTTGAGAAATTCGAGCCCCACTTCTTATGAGAAGCTCTGCTGTCTCCAGATGATTTTGCCTTACCGCTTCATGAAGGGGGGTTCGATCAGTGAAATCTTTGCAGTGGATTGCGTTGTAATCCGAGGACAACAATAGTTTAGCTACCTCTAAGTGTTTTCCTGCGACTGCCAAATGAAGTGCACTTTGGCATTGAATTCTGTAAATGTCATGAGATAAAATGTACCCATGCACATCACTAGAGTTGTAGAAAGAGGCCGCTTGATATCTTACTCTGTCTCCGAGCCAAGAAAATGAACCATTGCAACGCATGCAAGTATCTGTTAAACCAATCTTTAAGAGGAACTTTACAGTATTTGTATGACCACCGTGAGCTGCAAGTTGAAGAGAAAGATGGTCCGCATCAGCCCCTTTATGATACAAAAGCTGAACAACATCTGAATGTCCATTTTGTGCCGCCAGCTGGATGGCTGTCAGGTTGATACCGTTCACATCTCGAAAAGCAGCATCCCTTTTCAGTAGTGCTCGTATTACAGCAGTATGACCTCCAGATGCGGCGGCATGCATCATAGTGGAGTTCCAGAACGCTGTTTTAGCTCGTTCAAGAGGATCAATCACAAACATAAAGATAGAGCCTTTCATGAAAGACCGTAAGGGAGGTGGTGGCTTAGTTCGGTGGTCAATGTTAGCCCCTCTCCTGATGAGAAATTCGACGTTTTCTTTGAGACCCCTTTTCGCAGCGAGGAAGCCTGGAGTGAAACCATAGTTGTCCTCACAGTCAACGCCCTCAAACGAGGGAGCAAGTAACTGAAGAAGTTTTAAATTGCTTTCTTCTGCGGCAAGGTGAAGAAGGGTTTTGTTATCACTGTTAATTGAGGCATTTATGTAAGACGCTTTGATATTCCCAAACTCTTGAAGGAAATTCTCGTCGCCCTCCCAAAAACTAACATGATATGCTAAACGGTAAATGTCCATGGATGAGTTCCGGTTTTTTTTGACAACGCTAAGATAGTACTTAGCTAAGCGTTTGTGACCATGCTTCCGACTTACATAGTATGGGTTCCCAATGTTTTCTCTGCTTGTAAGCCACTCTGTAAAAGAAAGGTGGAAAATAGTGATCGTGTTGTCTGCACCATATCTGATAAAGTGTGAAAGATCTTTTAACGCGTAGACATATTCATATTCATAGTCGATGTTCTCCTGAATTTTTAAAATCTGGAATACAAGATCAACCTGCATTGGTTCGAATGCAGCCACCATAACCTCCAGAATAGCCAACGCGGACTTAAACTTCTCTCGGGAACCATAAACCCTTTTCAAGTAACTCTCGTATATCCCACCAATCGTTTTCGGGAGCTGCTTCAAGTCTACTTCATTGCTCAAGCCGTTTCCCCAAAAATGGAACATTTCCTTCGCGAAGAGGAAATTCCCTTGGCTCTGGCTCAGTATCTTGCTCGTCAGGAAAGAAATCTCTTCATCGCTACTCAAACCAAATGCATTTTTCAGCCTATCGAGAATCGACGCCTCTTCAAATAGTTTGGCAGTTATAAATACCTCGATATCTTGTAAGTTTCGTGCATCTGTGGAAGACAAGTACACTCTCGGGAAATGACTCAAATGTTTTAGGACTTTTGAGTCATTTCGAGAAGTCATAATGAGCTTTATCCATTTTGGAAGCTTACCAGACGTTTCTCCAATAAACTGAGCTATTGAAGTGCCTCCAACGTCTAACGAGCATTCGTCTAAGGCATCTATGATGATGAAATAGAATTGAGGTTGACCTTTTAACTGCAAAAGTGGCACCATCACAGCTTGTTCAAAGCATTCAAAAGGATCCCGTAAACAACTTCTCTCTAGAACTGAAAGGATGAACAAGCTATCTGAGATCAACATTCCATATTCTGGAACTCTTCTGGCCATCAAGTCGACTAAATTGCGAACAAATCGACCAGGATCCTGAGTTGCTTTGTCTGCGTGCTTACACAAATGGTAACCAATGATTCTTTTGTGAATAAAAGGACTAGATGAGCGGGAACAGATCAATTGGGCAGTAAGTGCAGACTTCCCTGCACCAGGTTCACCAGTCAATATTACTCCCCGATGTGTATCTTGTTTCATCAAATTCAATACTAGTTCATTGTAGAGCCAGAGCCGTCCAGTGAATCTTTCTCGGGCATTATTCAAGTAGCTTGTGAAATTGAATTCTTTACTGTCAAAAGGAACAAAGCCATCTTCCATCGGGCACCCTGAAAAAAAATAATATAACAACAATTGCGTTGACAGTTTAGATCTTTATTTGGAAGGAGGATTTTCCTCGTTCGTCTGCTTGAGGGCTTATTTATCTCTTTCTTAGCTTCCATCAAATTCACTTAATAACCACTCACTTTCGCCTCTCATGAGCGACCTACATAGCTCTTTCGTTCTCTTTGACTAAATGCTATAAAAAGGTGGATGGCATTGCTTTTGTAGCAGACAATTATCATGAAGTGAGTTGCTAGATAAAGTAACTGAAACACATACAAGAGTTGTTTAGACGTTCCTATTTCTTCAATGGTGCTGAAAGTTGAACAGAAAGCTGTCTTCAGCAGTCTTATTCTTTATAGAAAATCGATCTGCCTCTGGTTAGATTATTGAGTTAGCTGTTTACCGTGCTTAACTTGAACCGTTGTCATCTCTTCTCTCTTTGATCGTAAGCCATTAGTAATTGCAAACATATTACAGTCTAAAACTTACCGTCGTTGTAAGAGTTGTGACTTAAACATCTAAAAAAACTCGGGAGTACCATCAACAGCAGCCACAGGGTAAGTGACTTTGTGTCCAAGCTGCGAGCGTTGTCATAGACAAATTGCTTTCCCCTTGTATACACCCATTTGAGGAGGTTTGAAGCCTGTGTTGCCTGTGACAAGTTTCGATTTGCTGCGTCCTCCATTCTTTCATCAATACCTTTAAGAAGCTTGAAGACCTTTGTCTGTTGGGTTTGTAAGCTCAAAAGTTTCTTTCGTACCTTGTTGCTTACACCTTTGCAATTGATCTTGAAGGCCTTGATTTCCCCTTCAATGTCGTCAAGTTGACCACAAACAGTCTCCTGGAAATCTGCCAAAACTTTTCTCTCAATACTACGTGCATCGAAATCCTTCTCCATTGCGTGTATCTCTGCGAGGGCCGCCTTAGCGTCATTATCGAAAGTTAGGTTCGGATCTTGAAGAAGATTTCTTATCGATGTTAGAGCATCTGCCTTTTCTCCCTCTGTTAGCTCTTGTCTCGGAGCGTGTCCCCATCTAGTATTTCGCGTATTTCGTACCTCTTCAACGAGATGGTGTTGTATAGGAAAGTGGGAACACCAGAACAAAAGATTGGTCAATCCCGTGCAGTCGGTACTACTCGCGTCTATCACATCAACAGCGCTGTTCCCTAAATCGGACATGAAAAGTTTGGCTACCTCCCAGCAACCAAGGTTTGGATCTGTCCATTTGTACGAATCACTTTGGCGCCACCTGGGAGAGTTTGGTAGTCCACCTCTGTGGTACATTGAAAGTTGTGCAGCCCATGCACAAGAGTGTTTGAGGGGATTTCGACAGGCGCAAGGGGGTGCATAAGCAAGGTTTGCCATTAAAGTTCGATGAAATACTTTCATCTCTCTCTCGATGTAGGGCCTCAACCCATCGCACATAAGTGAAAGGGCGTGGCCTACAGCTAGCCAATTTTGGTACTCTTTCTTCAGGAATTTCGATTGCCAGTTTGCAGCAGTTGAGCAAGACGCCATTGCTTGTGAAAGGTTTTCAATCTTGCGAATATTTCAATCTGCAAGGAAAAAAGATAATGATTTTCTCTGGAAGAGATGATAAGAGCTGTCGATGCCTGCCCATACCCTGGCTACAGTTTGAAAACGGAATTCCTTCGTACAAATGCAACGGTTGGGTGTGTTTCTTAAGAGAGTAGTATTAGTTGCTCGATGACAGATTGCGGTAAGGATGTGGAAAGAAAAGCAGATTTATCAGTTTAAGTCGAAAGTCTTACTCTTCGTTTAGCCTCCGGACTCCGAGGAAATTTAGCTAAGCGGAACGTCGAACGTTCATAACATGACAAAACTAGTAAAAGCAAATTGACATTTTTTTTTTCCTCGAGACCTTTCCAGTCACCCTAAAACCTGACTTTTAAGTGCGAAGAACCTTCGTTCTTAAAAAGTATCGACCGATTAATGCTAACATATTAGAACGGGACTTAGTAGTAGTAGTAGTCGATACTTTTATTTAGCTAGGGTAACTCCTACAGTTACAAAAACTGATATCCTTATAGGCCCTAGATAAAAGAAATATAAAAATACTCAAAACTAATCCTAACTAAGCTAATAGAAGAAATCCTAAAAGAGGTTAAAATTTATTACAAACTATTCATAAAAACTACAAATTACGATTAAAAACTTCACATACATGATAATAAAAAGCTTTTTTCGTACACTCTAGTTTGATGGAGGGAAGGCGGAGATGATTACTTTGACGCGTCTTTCTCTGTACGATATCTCTATTAAAATAACAGTAGTCCATTAAAAATTGCGCGCAGCGCTTATCTAGACATTTCTTCACAAGGTTTAACGTGTGAATCTCCCGTCTAAGTCCCTTAAAGCCTTTCAACATAAATCAAAGGGTTCGAAACCCGCAGAAGCTTGTTACTGCCTGCTTAAGTGTTTGGGGATGCGAATGCCAGATAACAGCTCACTATAAACTCCATAATACTTTTTTGTTACCCCCTTATTGCTTAGAAAGAACCCCAAAAGATAGAAGAGAAAGTAGTAAGACATTATGAAGTCATAGCTGAGCGGTCAGGTTACTTAGGACAGTTTTAAATGGTCGGGTCTGCGGGGTCGAACACAGGGTAAATTGAAGACAACTTTATAAATATAAGGTTTCTCATTGGTATCCCAAAATGCAGCCAGTGTCAATTTTCTCATTTCTCTTCGATGGCAGCGGTCAGAATAAAATCATTTCCGGAACATGCTAAACAGAACTGCAAATTTGAAATTTTGATTTCAAAGTCTTAATTAAAATTAGCCAAACTGAACCCTAGCTGGGACATTCCTCGAAAATTTAAGGATGAGAGTTTGACTGAAAATACCTTATTGTTGAAAAACTTTGAGTAATTTAGCTGTTTTTAACCTCTGAAAATATAGATCGTTTTCGCGTGACGTCACATTATTTCCGGTCGCCATATTTGTGTACAACCCAGGGTAATATTATATATGCAAATAATAAGCACATCAGGCACAAAACCATCTTTCAAAGGATGCAGTAGATTTGCATGCGATATCCGTACACAAATATGGCGGCATAGCAACAGTTCTCACGGTTTTGGTCACGTGAGTGAAAACGATCTATTCATTGTTCGATTACCTGTGTGACATCATCGGAATTCCGTTCTAGCTTTTATAAATCACTCGAGGGAGCTTGAATATTTATCAAAAGAGCAACACAGTTTTCAAAATTCCTATGACTTTCCAAACACAATAAGCATCTGTTTGTCTGCTTGAATCCTAAATAAGTTGCAGCTGATTCGCTGGCTGATATCGGTAAAGATTTCAAACAGTTCGTGAAATAGTGAGTTTTATTTGCCATCTTCTCATTCGAGCGTTAAAAATTATATATTCCGAACAACTTTAATTTCTGAGTTCTAGGAAAAACACGAATAGCGTCAGATACCCCCAAATGCACACATTCTTCTCACTTTAGATTATCGTACTCATCAGAATTAGAATATACAAATTCACAATCCCATGAACATGTGAAATATCTTATTGTTCAACAACACCAAAATGAATAGACATATTTTACAACAATTTTTTAGAAGGCTTACATTGTCTTACCTTAAAAATTAATTCCATATGCAACAATCTTCACTACATCACTATAAAAGTGAATACAAAATTTTGCCGATTTCCAAACAATCTCTGTTTATCCTAACGGCGAAGCACTGCCCGGAGAAACAAATACACAGCTCGTTTTCCACAAACTTACCACGGGAAACCCCCCTATACCATCATTCATTGGAGCAAAAAATATTACATCATCAACGTGTTCTATTTTTGGGCTTTGACAGGGTAACGAAATCTTTCCGTAACGCGACATGTTCATATTAACTACAAAAACTATAATAATAATAAAAATAACAAGAACAATTAATAGTAATGACAAAAACCGAAGGAATAGGTCGGTTAAGTTTCTGTTTTTGTTGAGAAGGTACCATGTCCGACTCATTTTCAAACATTTTGGGTGCAGTGATTTTTACTTAGTACAACTATCATACCTTTCTAAAACATTGCACAAAGACGATCTTTGACATTCTCAATTGCCCTTAATCCTATTAAACTCTTTCATTACATTCTAGGCCCAATCTCATTCTCAATTACAATTTCTGTGAGAAGTTTCAAAAACTTCAACAACAATAGGAACATAAATTTTTAAATGTGCTGGACTCTCTTGAAAGTAAGATTAAAACGCAAAATACGTTAGAATTTACAAATGCTTCCTCTTTTGGATAACGCAGAAGGTTCGTGACGTGAAAAACTCTGTGCCATTCGAATCAAGGGCGTTCCAAAGTCGAAATTCGCAACTCGACCAGAAAGGAAATACGACTAACCCGTTGTAATTTGAAACGCCGTACTTAATTTATTCAGACGAGAAGCTCCTAATATTTTTAATGAATGTATTAGTTTCGGGTCGCAGAAAGTTCAACGTTTGAACTAAAAAACCTCGTGCGGCTGAGATACTAAAAAGTTTCGAGATGCTCTTGTCGGGCCGGCTTTTGAAATTGTTCCTCACTCATCGAAGCAGGACTTTCGCGGTATGATTGCATTTTGCTACCACGAAACCCAAGAAAGAGCTTGGAGGTTCCACTCAGAAGCCTCGTTGATTATTCAAAAGGTTGTTTTGTGTTTCTTGACCTCCACCATCACATGATGAATGTTAATCAGTTCACTCCGGATGGGTAGCCGTTTGAAAGGATGTTGAGATAATATTTTCTGAAATCTGTGATAATACTGGATGAGTTGAGTCAGAGCAGCCTGTGAAATACAAAACAAAATTGCTATGAGCACGTGTTAGGGTTTGCATTTGTGACAAATTAAAAAACAAGCGGATAACTGAGCTTATGTCATATAAACAACACGCAAACTTGAAGAGACACTCTAAATATACATCACATGTGCCATTTAGAGGGGTTGGGGGTGCAAATCTCGGTACCGTAAGAGAACCTTGAAAATTAAGCCTAATTTTTTCACTTCGGTTATTTGTAATCTGTGTCTATCTTCGCGTTTCTTATCCTCTCTCGTTTCTTTGGGATTTTTCTTCGCGCTTTGGTTGGTATCACCCTGAACGCAAACCACAGCAAACGACTCAGCATATTCTTTCTTTCTATTCGCGTTAATATACAAAACTTATTGCAATTTGTAAGTGGTTTATCGCTGTGGACGTGATACCTGTAGAATTGTTGTGCCATTCTTGAAGTTGGAGAACGATCTCATTATCTCTTGATTTATATTTTCAATTGATCTTTTCCAGTCTGATGCAAAACCACGTACAAGTTGTTGAATCCGTTCTAAATGGAAACAAGAAATCAGTAACAGGCCAAAAATATACAACTCTTGGTGTAGAGTGTCCATTGGTGTAAGAGTGGCCCTGAAAAAGGATTGTCGGTGGAAACACTCGCTAATGTTTTGACAGCCACAACGAAAGTCGTCAACAGAGCCAAGAGATTTTCAGTTCATGCACTACACAAACTAGAAATAAGTACATAAATAAAATCTACTCTTGCGAAGCAAATACTTAACAGCCGACATACTTTCATCTGGCCTGATAACTTGTCCCTGTCCTCGTTCCAAAAGAGGCTCTGTCTCTTTAACGAAGGCAATCATTCCACCGAAAGCGGGAGAAAGAGCCTGCACATACAAAAGTAATTTAAAATTATCTTCATTCTCAATCGAAGACTTTCCCTTTCAGACCCAATTAAAAGGCAAAAAGCAGTCATGAAAATCATAACACTAACTTCATAAATCACTGGGTGATATTTCTCTACACCTGTAAGAACAGAGTAAGGTCACACCTCTTCAACAAACTCCTGTATTCTGGCCGTGAGTAACTGCTGAAAACTTTCCACTTCTTTGGAGTCTTCTGATGTTCTCTCCTGAACATGAAAATAGATGAAAAGTTGGTGCAGCAAAGAGAACACCGATTGCACACACAAACAAACAAACTAGCAAACAAACACAACAAAATTCAACTGAATAAACAAACAAACAAACAAACAAGAAAAAGACTCCGACAAGACTTTTCCAACTCTAATAACCACCCATAAATAGCTTTCTGTTTTTACCGTCGTGCATTTACTACCCACATAAGTTAACTTTTGTATTTCTGTGTAAACATACCAATAAAACAGCCAGCATCATATCGTAGTTGTTGATTAAGAAAATAAGCTGTTCCTTCCTCAAAGGAAACTCGGCGGCCATACGCAAAATGAAATTCTCGACCTCGACTTGCAAAGCTGCGAGAACTTTGTTTACCTTAAGAAAAAGAGGTAAATTGGTAAATAAGTAAACAGAAGTGATTGCCACAGGAAATGTTTCACCTTAAAGTAAAAAAATTAAATTAAGAAAGAAATCAAAGCAAGTCAATAAAATTCAATTATTCTAACCTTCTCATCTGGAAAACTTTCATTCAAGCTGACAATGGCGGCACAGAACTCTGCATATCGACGGGTTATCTAACAAAAGAGAAAGAGGCATTCGAAGGAAACTAAAAAAAAAAACTACTTATACCCACAACATAGTACCACCAGGATTCGAGACATTCATATCGTAATTTATTTCTTTCATTGTTCGTGAGAGGGCGGTATTTTACAAATCGCTGTTGAGTACCACAAGACCTTGGGCACAATTTTCCCCAACACGAACCTCCCGGCTGGTGAATAACATGAGCATGTATCATGTTTGTCTTGAGTAACGTATGATGGGGTGTAAACGCAATCATAATGGAAGAGAAAAAGTCTTTGTTTTGTTTTTAAGATATACCGTAATTACTCGAATTAGCGCCCGGCTTCAAATAAGCGCCCCGCTTCGAACTAGCGCCCCTCCTAAGGTTCAAAATTTGTAATAAACGTCCTCTTCAAATAAGCGCCCAACCCCCCCCGAAATCCCACGAAAAGCTGCGGCAAAGTTTGGTGTGGACCGCAAGAGAATAAGAGAATAGAGACAAAAGAAAAGCAAACTGGAAGCTACTTGCAGCATGAGAAAGCGGCTCGAGGGAGCCGGACGAAAGCCATTCGATGAAGACATAGAAGAATCATTATTGCAGTGGGTGCATGAGCGCCGTTCTAATGGCCTTCGTGTTTCAAGAAAAATGATCGCAAAAAAAGCAAAATTTCTCTAGGAAGAGAAAGGCAAGGAGAAAGAAATGCCACCTTCGTTTGTTGCCAGTTGCGGTTGGTTACAGCGGTTCATGTCAAGGCATGGCTTGGCAATCAGGCGCAAAACCACTGAATCACCCGGAGAAACTGATAGACAAACTGATAGGCTTATTTTTTGTAGATTCGCCGGCAACAGGGGAAATCGCTTACCATGACAAAGATATCATTGCGATGGACGAGACAGCAGTATGGTTTCTAATCCCACGGTCGGCAACATTGGCGAAAGCACGATTCGATTGAAAACAAGCGGCCATGAAAAAACTAAAGTTTGAGTGTGTTTGGCAGAAAAAGGGAGACGGTACCAAACTGAAGCCGTTCATCGTTTTTCCCGGTGCCGAGAGATTCAAAAGTTCTGAATGAAAGAATGTCATCAGAACTTTGACCCTGAACATTATAAACAGCTTTTGTCCTCTGCCCCATGGCACGTTGGACAATTGTTTGATGACGTCGACGATCAAGTTTACGTGTGGAATGCACTTATGAACAATATACTGGACGAAGTGGCACCTGTGAAAAAAATGCGTGTGCGTGATAAAGATGTGCCCTACATGACGTCTCATTGGAAAAGTGCGATTAGAACTAAACGCAAAGCAAATTACAAGTACTTGAAAGACAAAACACCAGAAAATTGGGAATTACGACGTGAAGCCAGAAACGAGGCCACTAAACAAAGAAGAATCGCCATCAAACAGTACTGGTATAATAAGTCAAACGATTTGAAAATCAATCCCAAGGCGTTCTTCAAAACTTTCAAGCCATTTTTGGGCTCTAAGAGCTGTACTGAAAGAAACGACATCCACTTAAAAATAAACGGCAGTATGATAACGAATCAACAACAAGTGGCTGAGGAATTGGTTGAGCATTTTGCTACCTTGGCGGATGGCATTGGCGGTACAGCGATTGAAAGAAAGTCAATAGA